TGACAACACGCATCCATCTTCAGGCCGTCGCCCAGACCAAGGACAAGGGGGAGCTGGTGGTTGCAAACGGTTTTCAGCTGCTGCACCAGTTTGAAAATAAAAAATAAAGCTAACGGCTTTTCTGCGGCTTGAACCGTGGATCCAACAAGCACTTGCGCTCGAGACACGCAACAACACTAACAGAGAGCCCGACGTCGGAAGCGACGGGGAGGAGGACACAACGCGTACGTCTGCACAAACTCACCTCCAAGGCTGAGACAGAAGTTCTCTTGGGCCCTTTTCCCTGGCGGGAGGAGTAGGAGGCTTTACGCCCGCGAGCGGTCGACGTACGTCGAGAAGAGCGCCCGCGTTCGTTGTTGTCGACGACGGTTGTAAGGGGCGGGCGAGGGGCAGCGGCAGCCCGGCCTTGGACGCCGCGACGAGAAGAAGATACTGGCGATGAAGGGAGCGGCATGTGAGAGATGAAGACCAACTCAGCGTTGGGTTCGTGCGAAGTTTGAATGAGGAGGGGTGGGCAGCAAGCGCTGCGGGAGGATATGGGAGATGGGTGATTTTCTGGTCTCTCGGGGACGAAAAGGCCAACGGAACGGAGTCAACAACGCCAAAAAGGCACGTACTACGTCAGTATCACATCACGTATCCGGTGCTTGACCCTCGCCAGCCTACTCCCGCATAGTTTGTCCCTATTGTTATGTCGGAACTCGCGCGGATTGAGCTGCGAGCTGCGAGTGGGGGCAACTTGCTCTTTGGGGCGATGGGGGGCCGCTGGTCTGGAAGATGCCACGTATGACCATGATTTACGGCACCCCTCTAGGATATCACCAAATCACGAAATCATGACGAGAAACACGGCACTTCCGGCATGTCAGGCCCGCCAGGGATGCCAGGTTCGCCAGGGGGCGGACAACGGCCATCAAGAGAATCTTTGAGTTTAAGTGCGGTATGGGCGTGTGAAGGATGCGGAAAGGAACACACTCAAAGGCGCCAACGAGAGCGGTGTAGTTGCCGCCACGATGAACGTGGCCATTTCCGCGCGGCGAATCCGTTCAATTTAGCCGCATCGTCAGTACCCCGACAGCACAGGACCACCTTGTCCAGGGAGGACAGTGCGCGCAGTGGTTCAGGGTCGTACCTTCCAGCCGTGAGAGAACGAGGGAACGATGCACCAGCCGATGCCCAAGGT